GAGGATGCGGTAAGTTTGTCAGTCCCCTACCCATGATATCCCATACATGTTCAATTGGTGAGAGATCTGGAGATCTTGGAGGCCAGGGTAGGAGATTAACTTGGGCATTATGTAAGTGGTTTGCAGTTAATTTAGCAACATGGGGACGGGCATTATCTTGTTGAAATATAGGATCGTGGAGCATTCGTAAGTATGGTAATAGATGAGCTTCCACAATTTCCTAAATATAGAGTTGGGCTGTCATATTACCTCGAACAAATACTAGAGGTGACCTGCTGCCATATGCGATTGCTCCCCAAACCATAACTCCTACAACTTGGTTTACGTGCCTTTCCATGAAAAACTGTGGATTCCGCCTTTCTCCACGATATCTTCTCACTCGCGCCCGACCGTCGTGCAATACCAAACAGAAGCGCGACTCATCACTAAAAACGATAGCATTCCATTCTGCGCCCCATTCTTGTCGGGCTCTGCACCACTCTATACGTTGTGGTCGATGTTCAGGGGTAAATGGTAAAACCCAATGAGGCCGAAAAGAAAACAGCCCAAAAGACCGTATTCGTCGGTAAACAGTTCGCATCGTGATGAGTCTTCCGTGTTCCGTAAACCATTGGTTAGCAATTGCATGGGGTGCAAGGGGTATTGAAGCGATACATATAGCCTAGCTTACCCAAAAGTCAACCTCACCTTCACGTGGTGCACCCTGTTTACACTAACGAGGCTCTGACGTCCGAGTATAGGCGGTATAACCTATATATATCCCTCGGACCCACCATCTTTCTGGGGAAGAGGAGTAGTGAAATGCTCCTAGCCGGCCGAGAACGTAGCACAAGGGACTATCGTCGCGGTCCTCACTGTGCCATAGCCATCCCGTGCTACAGTTGCAGCCAACACTGTGCGGCAGCGTAACCGTCACAGTTAAACCTTTTCACGCAGCTTACACACATCAATGATGGAACATTCGAGTGGGACAAAATCATCATCCGGAGGTAAAATACCCCCTCAGTCGGATCTCCCGGAGGGGGTGCCTACTCGAGCGTATCATCGGAGAAACAAAAAACATCAATGTTTCACGCTTGCGGCGTGGAACGTCCGCACTCTATTGGACAAGATAAATTCAAATCGACCAGGGAGGAGAACAGCACTGGCCTCACAGGAACTCCACCGGCTAAATATAGATGTTGCCGCTCTTAGCGAAACCCGCTTTGCGGATGAGGGTAGTCTCACTGGGGAGCATTACACCTTCTTTTGAAAGGGTCACCCGCAACACACAGGAGAATTCATGGCGTAGGCATTGCAATCAAGAACGAAATTGCAAACAAATTAACAGAAGTACCTATTGGTGTCTCCGAACGCCTTATGACCCTAAGGTATCCCATATCAGACAAAACTTACGTCAACATCATTAGTGCCTACACTCCCACCCTAGACGCTAAAATTGAAGATAAGGATAAATTTTACCAAACTCTACAAAATGCTCTCCAACGAATTCCGAACGAACGAATTATCTTGCTAGGTGACTTTAACGCCCGTGTCGGTAAACAACAGGAAATATAGCCTGACGTATTGGGAAAACATGGTATGGGAAACGTAAATAGCAGCGGTGAACGCTTATTAACAACATGCACAGAGTATAATCTTTGCATCACCAATACGTGGTTCATGTTGAAGGACAAGTTTAAAGGTACCTGGAAACATCCCAGATCAGGCCACTGGCATCAATTGGACCACGTAATCGTTCGAAGGACGCATCTAAAAGATGTTAGACTCACAAAAAGCCAGAATAGATGCCGAATGCGGCACTGACCACCGACTTTTAATTTCAAAATGAAATCCAGTTAAAACCCAGAAACATCCACACTGTAAAAAACAAAACAACATGACCAGATTGAACGTACGGGGTCTGAGAACAACAATACCGCCGACGCCCTCCGGGAAACCATCAATGAATCACTTCCACCGATAACTTCAATCTCAATATTGGAAGCTGAACAAGGCTGGACACAATTAAGGGATGCGATTCATAAAACCAGCGAAGCTGTTCTGGGAAAAGTCCAACAAAAGAAACAACCAGACTGGTTAACGAAAATCAACCTCATATACAGGCTTTGTTGGAACAAAAGCATAGAGCACATCAAGCAGTCACTGCAAATCCACACAACCCAAGGCTGGTAGACAACTTTAAAGCAGCCAACAACACGCTTCGGAGAAAACTACGCCAACTAAAGGATAACTGGTGGTCACAAAAAGCTAATCAGATTCAAGAGTACGCCACGCATCACGATTACCGTAAATTCTTCGAGGCTGTAAAAGAAGTATACGGCCCAACCAAGAAGACAAGCTGCCCAATCATGGCACAAAATGGCGAACTCCTAAAAGAGGAAGAGCAAATCAGAAACCGCTGGAAAGAGCATTACAGCCAAGAAAATAACCCCTATATAGAAGCACTAAACACAATACCTCAGTATAACAGCCTCGATGTATTAGATATCCCAATAACAGAACAGGAAATAAAGGTCTCCATAAAACAGCTTAAAAACAACAAATCAGCTGGCTGTGACGCGATTCCGGCGGAAATCTATAAGTGTGCAAGTAAAGAACTTATTGGACATCTTAAGGCTCTCTTCGATGTCATATGGGAAAGCGGAGAGGTGCCTCAGGACTTTTGCAATGCAAATATAGTGAATATATAAGAACAAAGGAAGTGCATCAGACTGCGGAAACTACTGGGGAATTTCACTCTTGGCTATCGGAGGAAAAATTCTTGCAAAAATTATGTCAAACCGCCTGCACTCACATATAGAAAAAATCCTTCCAGAATCGCAAACGGGTTTTCGCACTAACCGCGGCACTGCCGCGCCGATTCCATATTTTCCATCCGCCAACTACTGGAAAAAGTAAAAAAACAGCAGTCTAAACTTTATGTTGCATTCATCGACCTAACAAAAGCCTTCGACTCTGTGAACAGAGATGCACTTTGGGCAATTATGACAAAGTTCGGAGTACCCATCAAATTCCTTACAGTGTGTAAAAGCCTCCATAACAACAACAAGTCAAGAGTGTCACATCATGGATCGCTGAGCGATCCCTTCTTAACAAATACAGGAGTTAGGCAGGGATGTGTCTTCGCGCCTCTCCTATTCAACATATTCATGGCAGCGCTCTCCATTATAGTGGACAGCAAACTGCAGGAGAGAGGATTGGGCATTAGATACAGATACGACGGCGCTCTGTTCAACTAAAAAGACTCAGGGCAAAAACACGTACAAAATTCATCACAGAACTTCAATACGCTGACGATTGCGCTCTAGTTGCAAAAACTGTACAGCAATTACAAGAAATGTTGAACACATATACCTGGGCATACGAGGCTTTGGGCCTTAAGCTAAACATCGACAAAACTAAAATCATGTGCACTCCTCCGGAAGATCACAACAATGCTATAAAAATCGGAGAAGAGCTACTGGAATATGTAGCGGAATTCAATTATCTCGGCAGTTTGATTTCGGAAAAGGCCAATATCGACTCTGAAATTCAGCACAGGATTAGCAGCGCTTCAAGAGCATTCTGGAAATTAAAAGACAGGGTTTTTTACAACCATGACCTGAGCACAAAAACGAAACTTGCAGTGTACCGAGCAATAATAATCCCCACCATGTTATATGGGAGCGAAACCTGGGTGCCGTACCGCCGACACATGAACGCATTAAACAAGTTGCAACAGAGACACCTTAGACAACTCTTAAGAATTAAATGGTTCCATCACGTCTCAAACGTATCGGTTCTTGAAAAAGCTAACTGCGAGAGTATTGAAGTCATGGTTACAAAATCCCGATTAAGATGGGCTGGTCACGTATGCAGAATGCAAGAAAACCGCATACCAAAATCACTGCTTTACGGTGAGCTTGTAGACGGTAAGAGGAGGCCAGGTGGACAACTCAAAAGGTACAAGGACATTTTCCACGAAAACTTAAAGGGGATTAATGTGCAGAATGAGTGGGAAGTAGCAGCTCACAATAGAACTCAATGGAGAAGAATTGTAAACTCAGTTAACAGCGAGAACCAAAAGTTAAGAGGCAACAAAGCAATGAGATTTTTGAATGTCCGGAGTGCGGTAGACAAATAACATCACGTATTGGGCTTTTCAGTCACAGAAAGGCTCATGAAAGAAAACGCCTTGCGTGACCATCTTCTGATGCGTGTCAAATACTCGTCAGCGAGTAATGGCAGTATGTATATGTATGTATGTATTGGTTAGCAATCGCTCGGGAAGTGGCCGAACGGTCTCTGACAGTTAATTGCCTTAAACGGCGATCTTGACCCTCAGTGGTTAATCTTAGACGCCCTGTACCTCTGGCACGATGTTCACGGTGTTGTTGAAAGTCAGCTCTACAACAATTGGCAAGAGTGCAACACTTCTATGGACCCTATGGACCCCTTCTATGAACCCTATCAGCAATCTCTCAAAATGATAATCCTGCCTCCCGCAAACCTACAATCCGACCCCTATCAAAATCACTGAGTTGTCTAAAATTGGCACGTATTCTAGGCCTTATAATAAACTCAGAAAAACACCTGAAACTACTCTGTAGCAGAATAAGTAACAAACTGTGCGAACGCCAGGTCCATATCTGGATGACTGAAATTTTAACAAAAACAGGTATAGCACAAAAACTAGTGTGTTGACGGCGTTCAAATTATAATCATTTCTTATCCATACAATAATAAACATGCTTACAAACATTTATTAAAATTAAATAATATTTAGTGGGTGTTCTATTTTCAATGTCACTTAGTAATTTAGACAATTTAATGAAACACCCTATATATAATTGCATTTTGTGTGGACAAAATTACAAATAATCGCTCACAATCTCTAAAAAAAGATACCTCGTTAGTCCTAGACCGCAAAACACGTTTATTGGCGCTGATGCTATTCGAGACTTTTAATCTAAGTTACAATAATCCTTATTTGCTCAGATAAAATTTTAAATAGTTAATAAAGTGACTCACGGATTATAACATTTTTTCTACATAACTTAGTACGTGTCGATATCGTGTTACCAAAAGTGAGAAAACAATTATACAGTTTATTAATTAATATATAATATTAGATTCACTATTCTATAACTCGAATTGTCATTGACGATATACAATTTTTGTAATTTGTAAATAAATATTCGCGTAACAGTATAGTTATTTTTCGGAAACTTTTAACTAGAAAAAGGACTGAATAGAGGTTAATTGAGCAATGAAACAATAAAAAATGTGAGTGACAAAGCATTAGACGTAAATAAATAACTACTTTTACAAAGAATGTATTACAACTATAATACTTAAGCGGAATAATCAAGTGGCCTTTCTGAGTTTCCTAGTGAAAAGTGACAAATAAAGTGTTCCTTACAGAAACAGTGTTTGACTTACTGCGAGATGGGTAATCCATTGACCTAGACCTTGTTTTAAGTGATGATGCATGGAATCGTATAGTACGGTAAGTTACATTTTACTATCTTAGATATTGTTTTACTATATTTTTTACTTACTAGTTTAAAAAATAATGACCATCATATTTCAAGTAACGCACTTTTGAATATTCAGAATAGAGTAAAAATATGTCTGTTAACTAATCAGAATATTTTTTGTTAAAGTAAATACCTTCCCCTGTAAATATATTGAATTTTTGCTATACAGGGTGGCCTATCGAAAACGTCCCGCAAGGCATAACGGCCAGGGTAATTTTTTTTTCAGAAAATTCAAAAACACGTCAATTTTGTTTGTGAGGGGGACAACTTTTGCTCCAAAAATTATTGCAAAACCCTCTAAGCGGGGGTGTCATCCCCCAATTGCTTTTAAATGGGAAGGGGGATCAAGTGGTACCGCAATGAAAAGGGCTTTCTATTCTCTATACTTTCCTGCTTCGTTTTTGAAGATCGGTCGAGTCGTTGAGAAAATATGAAGAATTGAAATTTGAAAAGTTTATTTAAACATTTATCAGAATAAATGATAAGGATAAATTCCTTCGACCAATTTGCTGTTTTTTCTTATTATTTCTAGATGTTTACGCATTTTTTCACTTGCCACAAGTTTGAACGATCAGGTGCGGTAGTTGCTAGATAGCTGTTCTGTAACTTGTGCGTTGAAGTTCTTCTCAGTAGGTATCGTTAAACTTTTTAACAATTATGGTGTACTCACTTGCAGAAAAAGTGGAAATAATCGAACTTTATTTTAAAAATAATGAATGTGGCAATCGGGTTGCGCAGATATTCAATGAACGCCATCCTGACGAACACCTTTATGGCAAAATTGTTCGCGAGTTAGTACCAAAATTTCGCGAAACTGGTTCCGTTATGAATAAAAAGAGGCAGATGGAAAATCCTGTAGTAAATGAAGTTATGGAGGTATTCGTATTGAGCCAAGTTGCCATGGATAGTACGCTGAGAACAAGAAAATTAGCCAATGAGACCGGCGTGAATCGTACAAGTGTCAAAAGGATATTAAAAAAACACAACTTCCACCCGTACAAAATTCAGTTCGTACAAGAACTCAACGAAAACGATTTTGATCGTCGCTTGCAATTTTGTGAAACTATGAGTGAACAAGTGGCGAATGATAATAATTTCCTATTTAATGTGTGTTTTTCGGACGAGTGTACTTTCTTTTTGAACGGTGTAGTTAATCGGCACAACTGTCGGTACTGGGCTGAGGACAAACCCAGGGTTTTTCACGAAGTGCACACACAAAACCCTCAGAAATTAAACGTGTGGGCTGGTATTTTTGGAAATTGTATTGTTGGTCAGTTATTGTAAGTAACGATATTGAGAAGAACTTCAACGCACAAGTCACAGAACAGCTATCTAGCAACTACCGCACCTGATCGTTCAACCTTGTGGCAAGTGAAAAAATGCGTAAAGATCTAGAAATAATAAGAAAAACAGCAAATTGGTCAAAGAAATTTATCCTAATCATTTACTCTGATAAATGTTTAAATAAACTTTTCAAATTTCAATCCTTTATATTTTCTCAATGACTCGGAACCAATTTCGCGAAATTTTGCTACTAACTGGCGAACAATTTTGCCATAAAGGTGTTTGTCAGGATGGTGTTCATTGAATATCTGCGCAACCCGATTGCAAACATCTAGAAATAATAAGAAAAAACAGCAAATTGGTCAAACAAATTTATCCTAATCATTTACTCTGATAAATGTTTAAATAAACTTTTCAAATTTCAATCCTTCATATTTTCTCAATGGCTCGACCGATTTTCAAAAACGAAGCCGGAAAGTATAGAGAATAGAAAGCCCTTTTCATTGCGGTATCACTTGACCCCCCTTTCCATTTGAAAAAAGTTGGGGGATGACACCCCCGCTTAGAGGGTTGAAGATTTTGCAACTATTTTTGGGGCAAAAGTTGTCCCCCTCACAAATAAAAATGACGTGTTTTTGAATTTTCTGAAAAAAAAATTACCCTGGCCGTTATGCCTTGCGGAACGTTTTCGATGGGCCACCCTGTATAAAATTGTGTAAATTTTGCTACGTTTTTAGCATTTTATTAAAATTGTACTTTGGAAATAAAACAAGACGATTATTGTGTCAAAAAATAAAACAATAAACAAAAAGTAAATTAATTATTAATTAGAAAATAAAATAAAAGAAAATATTGAAAAACAAGAACCCAAATTTTATACAGAGTGAGTCTTAAACAAGAGCAAATATTTTCAGCGCTGGTAGATCTCTAAAATAATCGCGATATTTTACTAAAAATAAAATGAAAATTTTAAAAAATAATTTTTTGCTTAACCTTTTTCTTGTAAATTTAATCTACTTCCTATGTTGCCTAAGAAGGTATTATGTTTTATGGCATTAGAGGGTAACAAAAAAGAGAAAAAAGGAAAGAACGAAAAATGTGGGTAAGACGCCTCTTTTTGCGTCGTCAAAATATTGCCTTACTTAGTGACCTAGATTATATGCATATGAAAAATTTTACAAGGATCCCATAAAATAGGCTGCCTTTCAAACTCATCAATTAACTCTAGACACTTTTCTCTGTATTTTTAACTAAAAATAAAAAAAAATCCAATTTTTTTTGTTCCGAAAATTTGAAATTTGCAAAAAAAAAAATAGCGAGGAAACCTCATAGACTTGTTTCTGGGGTCTATATATTAGCCCTAAAATACTTGTACATATTTTCAGTCACCCTGAATATTATTTTATTAAAATAATTATTAAAAATCACCTGTTACCTAGAAAGGTTTATTGAACCGATAGATTTCACTTTATTGATATGTTTATGTGCCCTTGTTGGAATGGAGCAATTGGCTACAAAAATATTTGAATGATTAACATTTTTAAGTGATATTCAAATACATGTATATGTATATCAATATTTTACTCCCCGTAATTAAACTAAAAAAAATTAAACAATTTTTGTAAGATTATTTTAGATTAGATTCTAATCTAAGATTATTTTACTTATGCAGTGTTTTGATCTACCACATTATATATACCATATGATATCGCTGTCATTTTATCTAAATATGTAAATTTATATGGAAAATGTCATCGATCGCCGATCGCCATTTCCCAACCAACCAGACGCGTTTTTTTTTCGATCATACGGTACTATGTATATGTATATAATGCATGTGTATCACCCAGATGGAATAAATTCACTTTTAGTTGCGCATTTTTTTAACAAAAACTTTCATTACAGGATGTGTTTTGTAACAGATCAATACCAACTTCTTTCTTATTTTAAATACACCCTGTTATTTAATTTTTGATTCTTTGTAATATTCTAACACATTTTATGTTTTAGTTGATTTGGTTTGTTTTGATAGTTTTTAGTATTTATAGTCGTTTTAATTTTGTTCACTGCATATCAGAACATTTGTTTATTTAAAGGTGCGTATTCACTTGCAACAAAACACTACGAACCAACCAAACGCGCTGCGCACTCCAAACAATCTGCAACAAAACATTTTCCGGGCGCGCTCTGAACGACCTGCAACAAAACATTTTGCGCGGAGCGTTCCGCCTGTTTGCGGTGTTCGCTGCGTTCCCACCAGTAATCAGTGTTAGTGTGTTTGTCGATGCATTGATGGATGCCTCTGATATTACCATAGCCGATGGTGCTTTTTTAATTATAGAGGCATTAGCGGGTAACAAAAAAGAGAAAAAAGGAAAGAACGAAAAATGTGGGCAAGACGCCTCTTTTTGCCTCGTCAAAATATTGCCTTACTTAGTGACCTAGATTATATGCATATGAAAAATTTTACAAGGATCCCATAAAATAGGCTGCCTTTCAAACTCATCAATTAACTCTAAACACTTTTCTCTGTACCACTCCATTAGCTAGGCACAGTTTAAAAACACCACAAACACATCGAACGTTCAAAACTGCCGTATCCACTGTACACCGGCCAACGAATATATTCTTGTGAGTAAATCCCGTTTACCGACAAGCTTCGGAAAATATTTGCCGTGTTCGGTTCGGTTCGGCGCAACGTACTGACTACACAAACTTGAAACAGCGCGCGCGGCGCGTTTGGTTCGTTCGGAGTGTTTTGTTGCAAGTGAATACCCACCTTAAAGGTGGGTAAGTGATATATATAAAGTGTAGTATATAAATATAGAGTAAGTGTAGTATATAAGTGAATACCCACCTTAAAGGTGGGTATTCACTTGCAACAAAACACTTCGAACGAACCAAACGCGCCGCGCACTCCAAACAATCTGCAACAAAATATTTTCCGGGCGCGCTCTGAACGACCTGCAACAAAACATCTTGGCGTTCGCTGCGTTCCCACCAGTAATCAGTGTTAATGTGTTTGTCGACATGGATGCATCTGATATTACTATAGGAGCTTGTGCTTTTTTAATTATAGAGGCATTAGCGTGTAACACAAAAGGAAAGGAAAGAACGAAAAATATGGGCAAGACGCCTCTTTTTGCGTCGTCAAAATATGGCCTTACTTAGTGACCTAGATTATATGCATGTGAAAAATTTTACAAGGATGGCTGCAGAAGATTTTGAAAATCTAATATGCTTAGTAGGTCCTAGTTGCGGTGCACCCTATATTATTAGCAATTGCCACTAGTGCTGCACAAGAGTCTTGAAAAGGTCTTGCAAGACCAAGACTCTTGCAAGAAATTCAAGACAAGACTTTCAAAATTTTTATCTTGAATTTCAAGACAAGACAAGACTTTAATATGCAAGAAATTTCAAGAGTCTTGCAAGATTTCTTGAAAGTTAGAAATGATACATTTTTTTTAAGTGATAATTAGGTCTTTGCGCAAGTTATGCCGGGTTTATACAACATTTATATAGTCGTAATCGCAATCACAGTTATAATCATAAAAGTTAAACTATCCACTTCTTATAAATCTGTTGACATCTACCATGAACTTAGCCTTTAATTATGTTACCCAACTTCACTGATATAAAAATTATGATTATGAAAATGTTCTATAAACGCACATTAAAATTGCGT